GAATTCCTTCCGCAGTGGTTGGAGTGAGTTCAGCGCGGCCGCTTCCCCAGGGTCATCCTGACGGAGAAGCGGAGAGGGACAAGAGGGTCAGCTGCCAGCCCAGGGCCGCGAGCACCCGGACAGCCCTGGCAGAGGCCCCTAGCTGGAGCGCACTCGGCCCGGACTGACAGCCAGACACCGTAGAGAAAGCGGACCAAAGGGGAGGTATCTCCCGCGGAAGGCAGATTCGGGTCAGGCCTGGAGGCGTGTCGGCGCTGTTACCTCCGAACTCTGGGCGCTGCGCGCGATCCACCGCACGGCAGCTGCGACCGACACCTCCTCTCGCAGCAGCGACTCCAAAACGGCCGCCATCCCGGTCGGGGCGCTCCGAAGCGATTGCGCAGGCGCTGGCGCGCCGCGGACGGCCTGGGAGGGGCGGGGCTTGCGTCGAAGGGCGACCGTTGGGCCGCTGGGCGGTGGGGCGGGGCCAGGGGTGGTGGCGGCGGAACTTCCTCAGGCTGAGGCTTGGCTCAGGCCTTCAATCAAGGGTTGCGTCTGGTTTCGCAGTCTCTGCGAACGGGCCTGGTGGTCAGCTAAGTGCGGCCGCATCGCTATCCGTGCGGCCCGGCTCCGTCTGTCCTGCTCCGACGGGCGACCTGCCGAGACTCAGGGATCCTACGGGGAAGTCTGAGGGGTCGGGAGAGCGGCCAGGCGGTAAAGGTGAACAATTCTCCGCAGAGACACCTGCCTATACATTCTGTGATAAGCATTCATTTATTTCAAGAGTTTGTTTTATAGAGTCAACTGTCATCACCCTAAAAAAAGTTACTATAAAGTTAGCCTAGCCTCATCTGACCTTGTCTTTCTCAAAGGCTGAGTTTTCAATCCCCTGGCCCATGCTGTACCCACAGGTTTTCCAGCACCTAACATTAACCGACTGACCATTTAAGACTTTAAGCAAGAATTCTTGCCTAGGAGGCTTTTTATAATCCTCATCCCACAACCCCTAAAGTTATCTCTGGCCACCCTGCACACAGAATCACTTTTATCTTTACCTCCCTTACACGTTGTAATGATGGGTTTACACCAGGTTAATATTTCAACTACTTCGCAATTGAAATGTTCCTAAGCACATTCCTGATTAACTTCTGGGAGCTTGAGTTCTTAATTTCTCTTATTTTAAACATGAGCCAGCTCTTTGGATGTTGCTACTGAGAAATCAAGAAGGTGAAAGCAAAAGGAGAAAAACAGATGGTACTAACACTCCAGGCCAAACCAAACCAGGAGGGGTGAAGCAGTGCCCATGTGAATGCCCCTGAAAATTCCTCTGGTTCAAAGGAAGGTTATAGGTGGAAAGGAGAGGGTGGTGGGGAGCAGGAATCATTCTAATACTACTAGGGGTGCTTCCTGCGCAGAAGGAAAAAGTACCTCCAGCCAGGGATAGAATGATGAACTGAAAAAGTGGTTATATTTGTTTTTTTTTAACATTTTCAATTTTATTACACACACAACCATCTCATATCCCTTAACCCTCGTTTCTATCTGCACAGATACTGATAAGTCGTATTCACTCCAGGGCTGCTTTTTCTAGGTCTCTTCTGGGTGTGGTACTGCATTTCTAACACCTTCTGCTCCCTTTTGATCTTGGAACCTCCGGTGTATTTAATAACTAAATTAGAAAAATACTTCCCACTTTTGAAATCCAAGCCATCACACAAATAGAACTAGAGTTTGCATGCGGAATGAATATTTTATTACTAGATTATAAAAATAAAATACAAAATAATTTTAAAACAGAACTTAAAACACTGTACAAAGCTTTAGTATGATACAAATGGGAAAATTAAATAAATAATTACACTTTTATGTACAGATGGCCTATACAAAAGCACTCCATGTTTCTGCCAATACTCTATGTCCTTGGTTGCCTGAGCAAAAATTCATAAAGAGGGCTGCTTGGAAGGGAAAGGGACACAATACCTTTGGAGGCATTTCAAAGAGCAATTTCTCATCACTCTGATTTCATGAAGACAAGGGAGAAAACTGGAATTGGTATTGCTTGACAAGAGAGTTCTGGTATGTGGTTCAATCTAACAGCTGCCAATAGTTCATAATGTTCAATATATCTAAAGTAAAACTAGATGTTTCCCCTCCCTCTTTTTTCCTAAAAGCTGTTAACTTGTAGTAAATGGCCTAATGAAATAGGTTCTGGCTATTTTAGGAAAGGAGGAAGGAGACCAGGGGCTGAGTATGAGAAAGAAGTAAAGGGGCTCAAGCCTGGTTTATCTGATCTGTTTTCTTCTTTGATTCACCCAAGTCAGTTTCAGAGCCCCAAGTGGCACAATTATCTTCCTATCTGTATTTCTGAATCCTTTTTACCTTACTGAACTGATTTACCTACCTGGTGAATAGTAATAGAATAGTTTTGAAAAAGTCCCAAGGGATTCTTCCTCCCTGGGTTGCTCCCTAAAATAAATCACATTCAAGTTTACCCTTGTGAGTGAGTGAAGAACACCCAGAGGGACTCCAGGTATGCTGAAGTGCTGTGCATCAAATTTTAAGGATTTAAACTATGCTATAGGGGGAAAGCATTATATGGCAAGGGTAGTTTACCAAAAATTTGGTTTACTCAATATTTTTAACTGGGTGAGTGAACACTTCTGTACACAATATAAAACAATATTAAACCACTGAAATGAAATTCCTATCCATCGCTAGTATGTAAAATTATGTCATCAGTAAATTCTATAGTCATATGGACTCAAGGATCTGCCTCTTGAATCCTATTCCCTAGGTCAAGGAACCCAGAACTGCTGGCCTAGGGTATATGAGAGACATGTTAGCATTACCAGTGATACATACTATGCCCATACTATCACTTTCAATTAAAGAGGCAGACTCGGTTAAAGTTTCACTTCTTTTACATGTCTCTTTAAGACCAAGGATCTAGCAAAGTCTAAGGATATATTCAAATCATTACTTAATGAATGGTAATAGTTGGCTATTCGGTGTCTTGAGATTGTGTATAAGCTCAAGGAGATCTTGATCTTATTACATACTTTAATTTTCTGATCCAAATTTGCCTAAAATAATTAAATATCAAGCTTACATTTTAAAAGCCGCAGCCAATAATCACAAGTGAATTAGAAAATGCATTGATGGGCTAAGACGTTAATGTCATCATTTCATGTCTAGCCAGGGATTTTTAGTAACTGAGTTATGCAGGATCCAAATTCCCCTTTACACAAATAGGGATCCTTATCCCATGTCCTGGAGTTACCTAAGAACTACAGGAATTCCCTATATACCTCCTGCAGGTCTCTCTAGCAATGCTGGCAATAGATTCCTCTGGTTCCCAAAACGGGGTTAAATTTCTCATAATTCCAGAGGTACAGCCTGGAACTACTGAGAATACCCAATGATGTCTCTATACTACTTCCACCTCCTTGAGGTCCACACCAGAGTTCAGCTGGATGAGAGTACAGGGAAATGGAATGTCCTTAACAACCACCTGGGGGTTCTCCATGTACTACATCCTTCTATTTAGCCTGAAGACTAGAACCATCTTATTCCCTTCTCTAAGTTACAGTCTAATTATATCCCTATAGTTTCTAAACTTGGGTCCCCAATATTGACATGTGAGCACTACGTAGCACAGTGGTTTCCATGCCTTAATCCTGTAATACTTTTTGTATTAAAACAGAGGTAACTAATTATTCTGCAAATTAATGGTCTACAGAAACAAACTCAAGAAAGTTAAACAATGCAGTTGTCAACCATTCTATCCCTCAGTGATACAGGTGCTAAAATCTCTCTCCCTTTAGGCAAAGTCCCAACACACATCTGTGATAAATGCACATAAACAGAAATGGGCAGATGTTAAGAGAGTGAATGCAAACAATTCCAAAATATATAAGCATGACAGAAAAAACAGTTCTCTAACATATGCCATGTTTTGATAGATATAAAGGAATGAAAAAAGCTTTAAAATGTGAAAACTTTGATCTCCAAGACAAAATTTAGACTTATCTACAAATAAATATATTTCAAATAGCTAGAGTAAGATGCATTTTTTTTTCCCAAGCCACTAGGATCCTGTTTTTCCTATCACCAATTCCTTATGTTAGATTAAGAATGTAGTTCCTAGAACAAAGAATCCTTCGCTCTTGGGGAAAAAGCATCTGTTTTTAATTCAAATCTACTGGGTGTAGAAAAACTATTGTTTTAACTATCTGTGTCTGGGTTTATAAAACATGCACCAATGTACACTTTTTCCTTGTAGATTTGAGTATAACCATAGAAACATTCACATACAAATCTGTGGCCTGGAAGGAATCTCTGATGATTAACAAAGAACCTCAAGTTCCCATAGTGGCTAGGAGCTAAACAGAAAGAGATAACTGCACCACTAGTCCACAGCCTTAATAAGCAGCTAAGATTTGTTTAGTATTTCAAAGCAAAAAATATAAAGTGGATAATAAAACAGTGGGTCTCAATTACCACTTTGCTACTTCTTTAGGATTTGATTAACTTGGCAACTTTTACAAAAAATATTCACAACATGCAACTTAAAAAACAGTAAATGTAGCTATGCCACTGTTGGCAAGGCCAGCTTTCATACCAAGTTGAGAATAACACTGCTGGCCTAAGACTTACCATTTAAAAGTGTTTAGAGTCTGCGCTTTAAAGTTAAATTTGATATGACCCAATTTTTCTTCTTTGTTCACTGTATGTTCAATGCCTTAAAGCTGTGCAAAAGATTACAATGAGGAATTTTAATATTTTGACCAATCTGTACATATTGGAGATTTGGCAGCATAATTTACAAAGAATGCTACCTAAAGGGACTAAACCATCTTCTGTTCCACCCAAGTAATTCCAGAGATTAGACACAGAAAATAAGGGCAAGTGTGACTAGGTAACCAGTAATTTGTGATAAGAAAACCATGAGGCACTTAATTTTCAAAGGATAATTTTAACTTCTGCCTCATAATACTTTTAGTATAGTTTGGCTTGACTTTAATTAATGGTCATGACCCTCATCTTAGGTAGAATAACCAAACTGGTTTATAATTACTTGGATGATTTATACTTGTCACTGAAATCTGAAATATGCCATCACTAAAAAATAAATAAAAAATGAACTAAAAACAAAACTTGTTCTCTGTATCATACTTTAAAATAAAACAAAAACAAAAATCCTTGTGCCGAAGTGCTTTCCTCAGGGCTGCCAACTTCTCTAATTTTAGCCTAAGACACATAACATTTAAAAGCACAAACTGCTTTTAAAAACCATAAAAGTAAATCTCTATATAAAATAGTACTTAAAAAAAACTACGTTTATGTGGACCTATTGATATATAAGATATAGTCTGTATTCTTTTGAAAGTATCAAGCAGAAACATCTTTGGTTAACTCTTTCCTCTACGTTGCAAAATAAAATATTCTTACACAATGAGGCTGTTTCTGGATCTTGAGTTTGTCAGTGCCTTTTAGAAAAGACGGCAACAGTGAAAAAGTTGCAGAAAAACAGAAGGAACCGAGAGAGAAAACATTACGTAGCCATGTTGCCATCATTGTCAATATTGACTGCTAGCAGGGAAATGCCAATAAGAAAATAACACACACACCACAACTGTAGCCTCAACAGCTTGTCCAATGGTTACCATGAATACATTTCTGACTAAAGGGGTCAGGATTTAAAGCTGGCTACTTTCAGTACAATTTAGCTAATATGACAGAAAAAAGATAATTTCTTAATTGTAGATTACTTCCCCACCACCCCCTAAAAAGTGAGGCTGAAAAAGTAAAATAATAATTAAAAAAAAATTTTTTTAGATAAATTTATGTCAGACCCATGATTATCATCTCAGTTTATCCACTCTAACCATTAAGGACAAAATTATGTGATTAACATGACAAATCTTTGAACCAGTATTACAAGCACGTCCCAGTAATTTTCCCCCTATTAAAATCTTTTAAAAATGAAAATCAATTAACCTATCTTGGCTTGTTAAAGACTGCCAACTCTTGCATTATACACAAGGAAGGCAAAAAGAATCTGACATGTCACATGCCAAGAACATATTTTCAGAAAATGAAGCTAGGCAAGGCCCAAGTGTATGCGAGGCACACAATAAAAAGGAATTTTACCATTTGTGATATTGAAATTACAAATGGAGAATGAGAAAGAACAAGTTTATATAAGCATATGTTTCTCTATTATTTATAAATATTTATATAATTTACCATGAAGACATGCAAGTAGTGTTACAACAACTATTATACAATATAATACAGAAGGATCGGTCTTCCAATATTACAGTTGCTTTAGGTAAACAACAAATATGTCTTATCTATTGCATTCTTCTGTAGTACTTGAAACTGGAGAGAAATTAAGATTCCACACTATGCTACATTTCTCATGGGAGACCGAATATACCTCAATAGTGTTTTGACTTTTTTTTAAAAAAAAGCTCAACACAGATAAAGAGAACAAGGTAAGTTCAGTGCAGCTTCAGGGCAGCTATAATGCAGCATTAGAATATGTTCACTTGGTAAGGAACTATATTTCTTTTTTTTTTGTTTTCCAATTCAACCATATTAGGTTTGGCAGCAAATAACAAGGTCAAAGAGAAAGCACAGATGTTTGCTAGAAGGCAAATTTCAACAACAAGCCGACCATTTTACCTGACCTTAATAAGGTCTTTACAACACAAAAAACACCTACAGAGTATAAAAGAGCCCATTTAAAAAGTCTACTATGATTTAATTTTGCCTGATTCCTGTTAGCAGAAGAGTGAGATTAGAACAAATATGATCCTCCTTACAGCTTTATAAATTGAGATTATATGGAAATCGGGTCAAGAAGCCCAAAATGTTCAAACTAAAGCCCAGGAGCAGGTAATAAAATATTAGAAGATAAATACTGAATCTAAATTAATTTTCCCAGATACTTGTTCCTTATTGGCTAAATGTATAAAATACAAAGTCTGAGGATTATAAGCCTCAACAACATCTAATTTCTATTTTGCTTTCTAAACCTCTAAAAGCATAAAGTCACATTCCACAGCTTTGTACTTTCTTGGTATCATCTTGGAGGATATTAGAAATAGCTGGTACCTAGAAGACTTAAGGAAGCAAGGTCTACTCTGGTCAGCGTTCCTTCCACAAGAAGGAAACTAACGTGGGGGATGAAGGTTCTCCTATCTTAAAGGGTATTAACCCCAACTCTGTCCCTCTCTCCCTAAAGCACTAACCTTGTAAACTTGCTTTATTTAGACTTTTCCTTCCATTACCTAAGTTTCATCAGTTATGTCTCACAATAAAAATATACTGAGAATATGGTGCTCCAACGAAAAATATTAGGGGCCTAAAAAAAAAGTAACTGGATTTGAAATTCTCAGCATGTGCTGCTAAAAGCATATCAAAATGTATTGTTAAAATAAGAGAGATTGGATCAGGTGAGAAACAGTAACTTTAAAAAAAAGTGAAACCCAGGGAGGGTACTAGGAATGAGGCAAAGTAAAGGTGTGAACTCTCAATACACTAAATAAACACACAAGTCAAATGTATGTCAGCATTGGCTCCCCAGCAACAGAGTTTTTAATATACTTTAATATCAGAGCAATTTTGACTCTCCAAAGTTGGGAACTTTTGAATGAAAATATTAAAATGAGAAGTTTCACTTCTGCTATATAATCTTTGAGTAGAGCCTTAAAAAGAAGTAGGCCAGATTCCTTAAAATTCCATTCCATATCCTACCTTCAACTATCAATCCTACAAAGGCAGCCAAAAATTGAGAGTTCATTTAATGTTTCTCCCCCTTGAATTTGCTAGATTGCCCCTTCCTATGCAAAGGCATTGCCTCCTGATCTGCTTGCTGCCTCCCTTAGTAATTCCTTATCATATATTTATGTCTCCTTATAAATAATTTATCATATTTCTTTTGCAAGAGAAAATCAACACTGATTTTTTTTTTTTTTTAAATAGACAGTATGGGGACACACATGCATCAGGTTTAGGAGGAAGATCTCACATCTTTCACAGAGATGCAGCCGGGCTCCTATCTGCTGAGTTTACTGGCTGACTTACTCTTCCCTGGAGGGGCTTTAGTGCTGGCCGAGTGGTGGTGGAGGCTGCCGGATCCTTTCAGGCCATTCTTGCTGGGTTTGCAATGCTCCTGTTGGCAGGACCTCCTAGAGGACGAAGATCCTGAGTGGCTGGGAGGTGACTTGCTTCTCCCCAGATGCGGGGATGAACTCCTCTGGTCATGGTGGGGCCGTCCAGCCCTAGACGGTGAGGAACTAGAAGTGCGAGGCAAGGAAGAGCTTCGAGGAGAGGCACTGGGACTCCTGCGAGGGACAACTGGACTCTTGGGTGGTGTTTTTGGATTGTGAGGGGATCCTGGACTCTTACACTGAGTAGTGCTCCGGGGTTTCTGAGATCCATTTTGAAGAATTTGGGCCAGGCGGGAGAATAGGTCTGAGTCGGAATTGCTACTCCCCAGGACTTTATATCTGCGGAGCCTTAAAAGAACAGAGAATTATTTTCATTTTAATTCATTTCAAATGTGTCTAATTCATGTAATTCATTTCAAACATCCCAAATCATAATGTGTATGATAAGAGTTAAAATCAGGAAACACAGGATACAGAGTTACTCTTTCACATACCAGTTGTATCACTCTGGACAAATTATTTAACCTCTGCTAGCTTTTAATGAGAATACTATAATCTCGCATTACTGAGTAGCCAAGTGCAATAACACAAGTACTTAGTTGGATGTCTGCCATTCAGAAGCACTTAAATGTTGTTAGTTCCCGTCCTCCAACAGCATATTTGCTCTTCTGATTTTAGGATTAAAATGTCTCTAGCATGTTAGCACAGGAGAAGGAGAGAGGGAGGGGGAGAAGGCAGGAACTACAGATAAAAGTATATTTCAGTTTCATTTACAATTTCCAAAAGAAAAGAGTAGCCACTGGTTTCTCTGGGCCTCAGTTTCTACCCTTAAAAACAGCAGAGCTGGGTTTGGGGACTGACTGCCCCTCTTACTGGCAACTGAGCTTAAGCCAAGGAGTCGAAATCTAGAGAGTATTCATATGAATAGCATATCTTCTTAGCCCTAAGTGTCTTTCTGTTTTGGCTGAAAATTCATTCAGTTTAAGAATTTAAACCTCAAACTGCTGACATGCCACTCCTTATAGAAGGAAGTAGGAGAAGAATTTCCAAGGTTCTATCAGTACATACAGGATTCAGGGAAATAAACAGCCATCATCATCATCATGAGTTAGCAACAAGTTACTAACTTTTCCTCTGAATTTTCTTTCCTCCTCCTTCCCCACCATCTACTTATTCTGAAAAATGGCATGAAACTCATTGGTATAAGCCTACCTTCATGGCTCTAATAGTTAAAATTTGAAGAAATGAATAAAATAATTCCTCTGTGTCAGGACCTAAGTGGGAAAGTTGAGTTCCATCTGAGTTCCCAGATGAGTGCCAATCTGGTCAACTCTGTAATAATCTGGCATAATGCCACAGGCTTGATTTAGTTACCAAGTGTTACTTTTAAGGGACACATAAAGTGCTAAATAATAATTAAGATTTGTTTGTTGCAGTCCAAAGTAGCTCAAGCCACAGATATGTCATCTCCGTTAAGCATGGTTGCCAAGCAGAAAAAAAAGAGGGATGTGTAAATATTGCTCATGGAGTCACCTTTTTAAAATGTCTCAGCTAAATGATTGTTTACTCCTCACCATTCTTCCTGTGGAAGTCTAGTCTCGCTGGCACTTCAAATCCAATGTTTAGTTAACCTTGAACCTGAAACCCTATGGCAAGTCAAAACCAAACTTACTTTAGATAAGGGCAGCTAGTTTTGCTGGGTAATGATACAGATAGAATCTCACTTTAATATACTTCAGAAATCCTTTTAAAAGGTAGAGGCCTATCTAGAACAGGTTACAGTTTTCATGTAAATGTATTCTGATTTTCACTTGTTGTTAGAAGAGCTTTCCCTTTTCTTCTTCAACAGTTTAGATCATTCTACTCTGAAAGTGAGTAATGGCTCTAAGGAAAGCACTCTCAACTGGTTCATCACCTCTCAACATTTTCCCCTCTTCTTCAAAATATAATCACTCTATGGTCAACAATACATGAGAATATTCAATAATCAAGTATATCATACAGTAAATATTAAAGCAAAAGCTCTACTATATATAACTGTATCTATCATCGGACCTGGGGGAATCTTCTATAGGATTTCCGTTTGTTTAATTCATTATTATCAGAAAAAACAGCACTGCTACCAGGGTCCAGTCATCAAATGATGGACACAGCATTCTTTACTAGAATTTGGCATCATAATGACATCTGTTAAGAGATTCTGACTAGGCAAAGCTAGATTACTGAGTATCTAGTTAAAATAGACTGGAAAAGAAGTAACCTTTGTTACATGCTAGTAAGTACTGCAAGCTTTAGATGTACGCTATTTTATTTTATCCTCCCAAAACCACCAGGCAAATGTTCTACCCATTTTATAGATAAGGAAATTGAGGTTCACACTGCTAGAAAGTGGGAAAGCTAAGAATTAACCTGGATCAATGTGACCCCTTCTACTACACTGTGCTATGAGGCTTGGTAAAGGCAGGGAAGGAAGTAGATGATCAGAAGCAGGCAACAAAGAAATGATACTACTGATATATTACAGTCAAGCAGAAACAGAAATATTGCTACACACTTAACATAGGGAAAGCTTATAACATTACCTGGCTTCTACTCCAGGTCTCATGGGTGGCTTTCCTGGAGGTGGCCGAGGCAAAAACTGAGATGAAGTCGAGCTATTCACCTGATCTGTGTTGACCCATGACACTGGCCTTGGAATTTTGCTCTTTCTGCACTGGGAGATGATGGGTGACAGAAAGCTATCTTCAGCTGACCTGCTCAGTGGGGAGTCTACAGCCAGTCTTGAAAAGGGAGTGAAGACTTCCTCCTCAGAAAAGGGAGCAGGAACAGTGGCTAGTCTCTCCTCTAGCAATTTATCAGAGGCACTTGAGAGGTCCCCAAGGAAAGACTTGAGTTGCCTTTTTTCCACCAGAAGCTTGACTAGGTCTGGCTGATAAGCTTTCTTTTGGAGGAGCTTTTCTTTTGCAGAGACTGGAGAGGATGATTCGAAAGTTGAGTCTATTTCTTGTGCTAAAACAGGGATTCGGCTGTGTCTAGTTATGAAGGATGACCTAACCACATCCTTCCGAGGTGGGGGACAGTGTTCACTCTCTGAAACACAATGAAATAGTTCTCCATTTCTAGGGACAATTTTCTCTTTCTTACCCTCTTGATGCAAAAAAGTAGGGAGGTCTCCTTGATGACCTGGCAAGTCTTCGCTTTTGACGCCATCATCTTTAGATATCTTACTTTTTTGCATTGCTGCCACCTGCCCTATTTGTCCTTCAACATGTGGGTCAATGACTCGTGGAGAAATTTCTGAAGTTCCAACTGCCAGAAGCTTCATTATCTCATGATTTTTGTCCTGATTTGGCACCACACTAAAAGTCTGTGACTTTGTCATATCGAGAGGTTCAGTAGTAGCTGAGTGATCCCTTTCCACAGTTACCAAATCTCCTGGGAGAGGAGCGATCTCAATATAATGCTGCCCTTTACTTAACTTTGCATCTTCATTATCTGACCCTAGAAGAATGCTTTTCTCTTCAGTTTCTCTAGGGAGACTCTCAAACTCCCTCACTGACAGTCTGTTATGGTCAGGAAGGTCTTTTGGTCCCAGATCTTGGGATGTGTCACACTCTCTAATATTGGGTAACATATCATGACCAATATGATCTATCTGAAGCCCCAAGTCTATTCTGCTTCCTCCACTAGGAGGCTCTCCCTCTGTCACAACCAAGCCAGAGAAGTTCTCCCTTGGAGAATAAAGTTCCACAGTGGGCTCCACAGGATGAAGGTCTTTCTTTTCTGGCTGGTGACCATAGTGAAAGCTTCCTGAAGTTGATTGTGTAGATGCCACAGAAGGTCTAGGAATTGTAATCTGGAAAGAGAAAAGAAAAAAAGTTAAAATGTAATAATGTGGAATATAAATGAAGATGCAGGATTTGAGATTTAACACCTAAAATTCTAATTTATAAGACGAACTCAGATGTTGACCAGATCTGCCCAATTCATACTTAAAATGAAAAATTCTGAATTAGAATGTATGACACACAAGTTCCCTACTCAGGAACTGTACAGCACAGTCCCCTCTGAGGTTCACCTCTGCTTTTTCTTTAGCCTCTGTGTTCTGGAAGACTGATTTCTACAAACTGCATTATCCAGGCTCTCTTCCCTTCTCATTTCTGGGTTTGCCCAATGGGCAGTACCAACAGAGAATCAGAGAGTTTGACGAGAAAAAGATCTGGGTATCAATTCTCTCTGCTTCTTCCCCAAGGAACTGCAGGTTTCGTGGTGGCTACATTCTACCATTCCTGGCCATAGTTCCTGTCACACGGCCCCACTCCCACAGATATGACTCTCACCAGGTTCTACTAACAGTCCCTCTTCCTCCTCTTAACTACACCTACACATCTGTAAAAAGTTCCTGTGATTAAATTCTCTCCAAGCTCTTTTGAGTGTGCCAGCTATTTCCTGCCAGAATAGATGCAGGATTATAGGAAAAATTATTGGCAATTATTTTAAGTTGAAAAATTCCAAATTTACATGCATTTTGTTATTTCCCATAAATTCTATTAATCAGACAATGTTAGGAATATTATATCTTCCTATAAGCAAAGATATATAAAAATGTTTATTAATGTTCATATTACCCTTAATTTTTAAAGGTCAAGCTTGTGATAAATGAAATTCTATTATCCTTCTACTAAGGTCATTTCAATTCCATCTGAATAAGATTTTTAATATCTAATAAGAATGTCCTTTTTAAGGTAACTAAAGTTTGTACATCTTCACAGTTGTTAAAAGAGACATGTAAGGAGGCAGAAAATGTCAACCACATAAACTGATGAGGAAAACAGCTTTTTTAAAAAATTGAATAAGTCAAATCACTTAATGATGCCCATTAAGTTCTAGGAAAACCATAATAACTGGTCTGCATTCAAAGTAAAATGAATTTGGAACTGTCATGGGAGATTTTGCTTAAACCTCATCTCTAGTCCAAGGACACCAAGAAATCGGTATGGTTCCAGAATCAGATAAGTTGTTTGTATCTGCTTCTCTGCTGTGTCAGGAAAAGAGTTAGGTTTAAGAAAATGTAAAGCTTATCCTAAGCCCAGACCAGGGAGAAAACACCTAACTAATATTCTGGAATAGCTCCTGAATGGAAGCAGTATCCTGAGGATCTGTCGGGTTAATCCCAGGTGGGCTATTTGGGTTCACACCAGAACTCAGTACATTTTACTTTCACATCATCAAAAAAAAAGAGAAAAGCCTGAGAAAAGATACAGACTAACAAACTGTTTCCTATCAAAATATGTCTTAATTTAAAATATTCAATTAGAACAGTAATATGGTTTATCATATCATCCAAGATAAAGCATACAGAGCTGCAAGAGATCTGGAAAGACTACTTGGCAGTATTCCTTATTTAATGTGCCTGTAGTAAGTTAAGGAAGTGATAACATCTGCTTTATAAAAGTACACTCTGAATTTAAGCCTCAAGAAGAGAATCAAGATAAATATATTTTTATCGCAAGCTCCTCATAATGAAGGAAATAGTAAGTTTAATACCCTAGACATAAGTAAAAAAAGCGATGCACTTGACATTTCTTTAGAGACCTTCAGTTAAGAAAAATATTTCAGAATACTTGAAAATAAGGTCAAACTTATAATATCAAATATATCAATACAAGTCTTTCAACAACGTAATAGAATGTTTCAGATGGTGTTTAGAGAACCATGAGAACAATCTTTGTGGACAGGACAGTATTGATGGGAGACAACAAAAAATACTAGGAGAAATCGAGCCAAGGCTTTAGAAAACCTTTATGAAGGAAAGGACACCAGAATGCTATATATATAAAAAAAAATGCTTTAACAATGGTCAGTACATAGCATAACAGAATCAAAGAAAAGAAGAAACAAAACCTGAGAAGGAATGGAAAGAGAAAAGGTGGGATGAAAAAAGGGATACAGGGAAGGGAGGGAAGTGGTTAAGACCTGCCTCTAATCCACAGGGTACCTTTGTACAACTTGAAAAGGATGCTCTTCGAAGAGGAAACAGCCCCATATAAAGTTTGGCTAGCAAAATTTGAGCTAGATTTCAGCCCGAACTGCTCCTTTGGCTAGGCACGCAGTAAACAACCTGTATAACTATACAAAACAGTCCTGGGAAAGAAGGAAAGGCCAACTAACTGATGAAGAATGAGGCAGGAATTTATTTCTCTATTTTAAAGTGCAGTTAAGTTCCTACAGAGCTGTACACAAAATCAAATTTTGTTATCTTTTCTCAATGTTTTACACCTGCATGAGAAATTGTGTTCTAATAGAAAACATTTCAGCCTGGAGAACAACGTTGTTTCTGGTGAGTTGGAAGAGAGGGCTGCTAGATGATTATGGAATTTAAGGACACCGGGTACTTCCACCCATGTAAGGACAGCTGTACCTGCTGGTGGCTGAGCCTTATATACACAGTTCCTTACTGCCTTCATATCTGGATTTTCTGGAGCTCTTGCTGCTCACACAGTCGCAGGGGGCAGCACTGCTCCCTAAAAACAAGTGTCAACAGGCTGAATGCCCAAACTGAGAATGCCCAAACTGAGAATGCCCAAACTGAGAATGCCCAAACTGAGAATAAAGTTTCCTCAAAATGTTCCTTTGCAGAAGACCTGCATCAGTTACCTTCAGCTGCTTGCTAAAATGCAGATTCCTGGACTCACTCTATTCCAGACCTACTGAAGCAAAAGTTCTGGAAGTGAGGCTGGGACTCTGGATATTAAACAATGGAAATCAAAGCTGTAAAACTATTGTTTTTAAGAAGAATGTAAAATATGAGCAATTTCCATTGAAATTGATTACAAAAGAGAAAGGGGGGAAAAAAGTATTAGACATAGCAACAGAATAAAGCAGAAACCATGAATGGTTAACTATATGCCTTCCTCACCATATTTGTAATGTAGAAATTAAAAATCTCTAGAATTACAAGTTTTTTTTTAAATCATCTTATATATACACACAAAAATAGATAGATCTTGGGGTCTAATTATCAATGTTACTCTAAAATTAGGCTATAATGATATTTTTGTACACTGAGCTGCTGTCCTGACAGGAAACCTCAGTTTTTGAGAAATTTCATATTGGAAGACTGACTATAGAACTTAGTGCAGACATCATTCCTTATAGCCATTTGCCAAAATTAGACCTCTGCTGAAGAACCTTAGTTGACCAACTGTTAGTCCTTTCTTAACAGCACCTTGAATGGATAACAGAGAAAAATGACAGGAACAAATGTCTTACCGCTGTAAGGGGTCCTTCCGCTTGCGCCTCCATTGGACTTGTGGGTGTTGCTGCAATAAACTGACTAGCAGATCCAGCCTGGAGTTCTAGCCTATCTGTATACTGTTCTGAAGCAGCAGTGGCAGGGCATTCTCCAGAAAGTGCTAAGATCACACCTGAGGTTTCCTTCTTTAAATGAATATTTTCTCCCCAAGGACCAAATTGGAGCTTTTCATCTTGAGGTGATTCTTCTAGGACTTGAAGTACTTCTGGCTCTTCATCAGAAGGGCTTCCTGTTGTTTTATGACCTAAAGCCTCATTTGCTCTAAAATCCTGAAGGTCCTGCTCCTTGTCCACAATCACCCATTCTTTGGAATCATCCTGCTTGCAGGAGCTCAAGTTAACAGCTATAAATCCATTGCTGCCACCACCATCTGCCTGCTCAGGGGTGTTGGCAGAGGCAGGCTTAGAAGCATCTGGAAGATATTCTTCATCATAGTGCCAGATGTGGTCAGTATGGGCCCCAGCAGGAACACAAGGCTTATGAAGCAGAGCAGGAAGAACAGATTCCTTTCCTGCACTGGAATCTTTCTGCATTTTCTCCAGGCTTAAGAAAACAGAGAAAAGTTACTCAATTGTCCAAGGGGAAAATTATATAACCTATAAGCTCTATACAGAACTAACATTCATACACAGATGAGAGAAAGTATAGATAAAGCATAAGGAAAGTTAATAATGCTCTTCTTCACCTGTCATAATTCTGTTTTGGAAGATGTCTCTCTTGCTGCAGGGCAGGAGAGAAGCCTAACTGGGTTTCCTTGTATGATCCATTTCATCTTTGCTTTGCCATTTCAATCACATTTCCCTCTGCATTCTCTGAGGGACTGAGAAGAACTTACCCAGGGGGCTTTTGCCTCACCAGAAGTCCCAAGAAAAGAAATAAAAAAGCCAGTATACATAAGGCAAATATTTTCTGCCTTTGTTTTGTCTTTAGAGATGTATGTAAATGCACATTCATTCAAGGACACTCCTCCAAAGGCAGGGCTTTGGAGAAGGTACTGTACCTGCCAACCATACCTGGCCCAATATGCACACAGAACTCCATACATGGTGGTAGTGGGGTGGTGATGGTGATTTGAGGGAAGTATATTTTCAGTTTTCTTGGATTAAGAGGCAGTTGACATTGTATATAAATCTCTCTGCTTTCTGAGAAGCAGGCAATAGTGTGACTGGTAGTATCTGGCAGCATTGGTTTCTGAGAACTGATCTCATCTGTAGGGATGCAGTTTAAGCAATACCTTTTTTTCTTTCCTTAAGTCTGTAATTAGATGCTTCCATTTCTTCAACTGTTCTCTTGTCATTCTAGGTCCTGGTTTGAGGTCATTTTCTTAGATTACCTGTCTTCTCAACTCTGTCTTATCTCTCAGCTCTTTCCCCAGCATGGACGCTCTTTTTACTTCCATTCTTTTGTTAGACTAATTCTTTAGCAAACTAAGCTTTTATCCCTGTTGCATCTATATTTATTCCTAATCTTAGCCATAACTCATGCTTAAATACTGCCCCAATCCAAGTCTATCCTTTTGATCAATGTGTAGATACAAGCTTAAGCACATATTACCATGAGTTTACCATGTGAGAAAAAATAGACATATATGAATGATTGTTTAAGACTAGACTAGGCCAAAATGGCTGAATTGTCTTTGGACACAGTAACTACTATGTTAGTCAAATATATGGTCCTTCTAACCTAATATTTCATAGCTAATGGTAGCCACCAGGGACAGATGAAAGTGTCACTCAGGTCTTAATATTACTAAAGCCTTCTATAATTCATAAATACATCCCAAATTCTTTTTTGAGTTTCATTCTGTCTTCTGCTATCAAAGGTTGAGGGTAATGGGCCTCATAACTACGAACTACAAAGTCATTCCCAATGTCCATAGTTTTCTAAGTTCCACCTTCCCTTCTGTGTAGAATGATAAACTTCCCGCGCCTATTTTTCCTACAGCACTTACTCACACAGAAGGCCATCATTAAATTGAATTGTTTTGCCTGTCCCCTATGTATAAATTACTTTTTCCTTCCTTCGTGTACTCCCCTCCTTCTTGCTTAATATCAGCTTAATCATGCCCTCTCCAACACTATACTGCATCTTCTCCATTACAATAAAAGAGAGCACTTTCCAAACAAGATCACTCCAAATTGTTCGTTTGATTTATATCTAGTATTATGAAGATACCTGCTCCTACTGCTCAACTCCCAAAACCAAAGGCTATGTTATAGAGTTTATAACAATATTAGGAGACAATTCACATCAAGAATCAGGATGATAATTTAAAATATGGATGAAGATGAGAGATTAATCAAATCAATGCTACAAAAATGCAGTTTATTTTAAAAGACTTTACGTAATAGAAATAGATTTTAAAAATTTTTTAAAAAGTATCTTAGTTGCTTTAAAAAAAAAAAAGGGAAAACTTTTATACCAAGTCTCAAGAAACTTGTCAGTATCTGGCTTTGGCTCCAATGTCAGACGTTTTTCCAGCTCAAAGCTGTGGATAGAACGTAACTTTCGCACCAACGGAACATCTCTGTCTGGCTGAGTAATCTCTGAGCGGACACGAATCGGTGAACCGAGGCTTGGAGCATTCAGAATACCATTTGCTTGACCATGGCTATTCTCCTCTTCAGTAGCAGCCTAGACAAAATATTAAAAAGAACAAATGAACGAATGAACGAACAAAAGAAGAAAAAACATTGAAGTTTTTATTGCAAGCCTTTCAATATATTGAAAGCAAATGACTAGGATGTGTTTTCAAAAATTAGGATATTTGAGCTAGTTTACTTCATTACAAATTTGTCTATTAACCCTTTATTAAATGAGTTTTCTTAATTTATTTGCAGTTTCAGTATTATTTCATTTTTTTATATTTTGGTACAAAGATAAACTATCTAAATATGTTTAACAACCTTAGCTTTTGGTATTATGTCTAACTAGATGCTTGCAGGACCCCAGTCCACTAAACTAAAACTTGGAAAGGGCATTCTCTTTGGGACATAAGTGGTCTCATACAAGGTAGGAGAGGTTGCCAAGCCTAAATGGTTGCCATGCTCCTTCTCTAAAAAACAAAGAAGAAGAAAACCTGGTGTTCAACAGTAAGGAGCTGGGCAAGGCAGAAGGAGGCTGAGCATCAGACAGCACAAAGGGGTGGGGCTACCTAAGGACAAATGCCTACAGTACCACAATTGTTAGGATAATTAAACTTTATACCAGTAGTCAGGTAAGAAAGGGAAGTCTGGGACATCTATTCTGATTAAAGGTCCTCAGAAGATATCCCAAGCAGGATAAACAAAAAGAAATAAATGATTGGACACACTGTAGTTAAAATGCAGAACATCAAAGACAGGGAGAAAAGCTAAAAAGTAGCTGGGAAGGGAGAATGGGTGGAATGATCATCTACAAAGAAAAAAAAAAACAATGAGAATAACAGCAGACTTCTGAACACCAAGAGTTGAAGCCAGATTAAAAATAACTGTCAATCAAAAATTTTGAACCCAGCATAAACTATCTTTAAAGAATGAGGCTGAAAAAATACATTCACAGTTAAGTAAAAATTGAGAAAGTCCTCTACCAAAAGACCTCAACTAAAGGAACTTCTAAAGAAAATATTAAAGAAGATGAGTCCGGACTTTCAAAAATGCAAGGAAATGGTAAACATCTTTGAAAAATACATACTAAACATTACTTGTATGAAAGAACACCACCACTAATCTAATTTGAGTAATTTTCTTAAAAAAGAGAGAATTAAAAAATAGAAGAGAACTAATAGAGATTAAGTAGTGATAATGGGGTGAAAGAAAACCAAAGTACTTACACTCTACGTCAAGTGTCATTTCACTCTTGCATACAGACACTCATATAAGCTGACAACTAAAGGTTTTTTACTGTAAGAACAGTTTGCTCCTGGTGCCATAAAGACAGCCACAGCTGATATTACAATAGTCTGACACCAACTTCTTGACTTTTCACTACTTATTCCTGATTACTCTTAGTCCAGATAGTGTTTATTCAAATAGCAAAACCACAGAGCGGCATATCACATCTATGCAGGGAATGCTTTTGCAAATGACTCCCATAACTGAAAGTATATACTGCCAAGTTGTTAAATTATATAGTTTAACAATATAGTGTGTGTGTGTGTGTGTGTGTGTGTGTGTGTGTGTGTGTGTATTCCAAAGACAGGCCAAGCTCCTCAGAAGTGATCACAGAGGATTCTTTTCAAGATAAATTACCCATTCATAAAGCATGACTACCCAACTTTCTATCAATCATGTTAACAGGCATGAGCCCAAAGTCTCATTTTACACATATAAACTTAATCTCCTTTGCAACTAAATTATTATAAAAACATAGGAAGCACCCAAAACTGACTGACTTCTAATTACTTGCCCCTCTATACCATTTATCTTCATCTGATCTATAAAAACAAAAATGACAAGGAACAGTAAGATCAGAGAGAAATGTGGGGATAATCTGACCCAAGATTACTAAAAATTAACCACTTGGGGGGGATTGTTTTATGAACTATATAGATGTCTAACCAATACACTGTATACTTAAAACTAATTTAAATAAATTTTAAAAAATTAATCATTTAATTCAGAAATCTATCTCTCCATACTTATATGTGGACCTACTTATAATCCTAATGAAGATCATGTCATTTGTTCAATATCCACTTTGTCAACCCATAAACAGTTTGATGCTTCCCACTTCCAATCATCACTCCCTCACCTCCATTTGAGATAGTTTTCAGAATGGGTACTCTTAGCTCCATTGGTCCACACTATAGGAAGGGCCCAGAGTATTTTCACATTATTTGGAAAGACTATTAACTTCTGTTCTATAGATATCTCTTCTTTTAGTCTGAGTGTCTAGTTATTTTTTTAAAATACCTTCATCTTTTCCACAAAATACAAGATGAAGATTAATGTTTGGTGTCCATACATAGGTGTTATGGGCAAAAATTAGCAAAAATACTGTAATTATAAATATAGAAATAACGAGCAATAGAATGTTGTGTCTACCTGTCATTCGAAATTGAGAATCAGGACACTTTGCAAGAGCAACAGGAGAATAATAATAAGCACATAGAAAGATATCACTTCCTATGCAAGAAATATGCACCTTACAAATCCCAAGCTTTATCTTGTTTCTGTTGACATCTATCTCTTCCCAGACATCCTTCTCCTGGGGACGAGGGTGTCCTAAAGATCCAGGCAATTTATCTGGTGACACACCAACAGGGATGCCATTCTCCCCATCACTAAGCTGTTCATCTGGAAACACCTCATCTGTATTTTCTCGAAGCAAGTCCCCTGGGATGGGAGTGGCATTGGCAATTCTAAAAATGAGGGGTAAAAAAAGGCAGAACTTAAAAACACCAGAATCAAAAATTACTATGAGACTATCCTACATTTTGTTTCTGGATTTAAATGATGACATCTATATATCATAAGAGAATAAAAGGAAACAAAATGAAAATCCTCGGAAACAGGCCATGAAAGTTCTACAAAATAAAACATCTACATTTTGATCAATAGAAATTTCAAGCTGATATTAAAAGCTGATATAAAAATACAAATTCTAATACAATAACTCATTTATTTAATAATCACTTTAAAAGTTAGAAGTATTTGATATATGTCCAAGAAGTCTTTGTCAATTTTAATATTTTTTATTCTTTACCCATTTTTCTTAGAGAATAACAAAAATTATAAACAGGAAAATGTTAAGTGATATAATGATATAACCATGTATCAGATCAATCAGTTATACATTTTTTAATAGTGTGAAATGTGCATTTGTTTTTTCATTTACAGACTTTTCTCTAAGTACCAATTACATACAAGGCCCTAGGGGCATAAAGAGGAGAAAGAGAATTCTTGCCTTTAAAGGAAAACTAGGAATTCTGCAATTATACAGTTCATACATTCTGCATGAACTGACTGGGAACAATACAGAAAATATTAATTGGCACTCTGTCTATACATTTCTTTCAAAGTAACTTCATGTCCTGTTTACATGGTTGGTCATCTCTCTCTTAGACTTCTGACCTCTGAAGAATTTTTCTAGTTCTCAGTTATCATTCCCTAAGTGATCCAGCCCCTGCCAACTCTAATGTTCTATAACTCTATACTCTATAGTCTTTTGGTTTTGTTTTTTAAATACTGCTTACTGAACACAATATTTGGCACACAATGAAACCTTTTCTTAAAAGTGATCTGGAATGTCTAAAAGTAGAAAAAACAGTCTTTGGTATATTATCCTAACACAATTATTATGAGTGGTAAAATAAGCATCTTCTCAGTGAACCACTCTTAGAGTTAACAGTTAGACCCTGGCCCTGGTGTCATACCTATGTCATGCTGAGAGAAAAAGATCAGTCATTTTTCGGAGACTTGTTCTACCAGATTTGATGACTGTCACTAGCACCTCTCCCTCCCAGGGGTCAGTGCTAGAAGATGAACTTCTTTATCAATAGGTTAGAGGTAAATAATCTAGAAAAACACTGATAAAGACTCCCAGGAAAAAAACCTTATAGCCTTGGAAAGTAGTACTTGTAGCTCTGATAAGAGGAAAATGTTTAAAGGGTAGTTGGCCTAAAATAGTTCAAATGAAAGGATTATAAAAGAAAAGTTCAGAAACAAACTGGCTATTAAAAGATTTTTCAGATCTAAGTTTAATATAATTTATTTACTATGCCAAGAATTACATTGGACACTAACATATATTGTTATGTAGTAATGCAAATGTTTACTGGAAGAATTCTTTCTATGCCTGAGAAAAGAAGCTGGCAAAAGGATGAATATTTGACTTCAGAAAGCTCAATCAACCAGCCCCACATTTTCCCTCCATTTTAATCACTCAGTGTTCTTCTAAATCTTTTTTTACTTGTGCCTGGCTACTATTGTGCTTCTTTCCAACTACCCCAATTCCTTGGCATTTTCTTCTTCTACTCCTCAGGAGACAAACTATATCTCCACCTATGAAACTGCTTCTATTTTTACTCTATCTTAGTTTCTTTTGTCTCTTATGCTTCAGTATAATAGCACACACTTCAAGGAACTCTTCCATTTTCTCTATGTAGACTCTCTTCCAAATAAATACAGATATGTATTTATTCTCTTATTTTTACTCCTTACATAATAATTATCTTCTTCCTTCTCCCAAAACTTGAATCCTAATCTGGAGTTTGAGGTAAAGAATTACTTCCCAGGAAAATCATATTATGTTAAGGAATAAAAATGAGTGAGAATGTGTATGTGAGAGAATTATTAGCACATGGTCTGTGTTTGCAGGCAAGGTATAAATTATAGAAGCAGACTGGGGGGAAAAAAAGGAGATGTATGGACAAACAAGAAAAGTGGAAGGATGGACATCTTTTTCACATTTCTTTTGTCATAATCTAAGTCAGGGGTTGTCAAAATAGGGCTTGTCAGCCAAATCTGGCCTGCTCACCTATTTTTGTTAATAAAGTGTTATGGCGCACAGGTATGCTCACTTGTTTCCATATTGTCTATTGATGCTTTAGCACTACTACAGCAGCAGTAGTGATGACAGAGACAACAGAGCCCACGAATTTATCTGGCCCTTTACAGATAATGTTAGCTTATTCCTGATCTAAAGCATCCTCTTTCCTACCTTCTCATGAACTTCTTTTCTCCTTCTACTAGAAATTCAGAGTTATAGGACATAAATTATCATTTTTTCTTTTTAACACTGATTCTCTAGAGTTTTCCAGATATTTGTCCATATCACCTACAAACAGCAATAACTCAGAGTCAGCAAATGTTTTTTTAAAGGGCCAGAAAGTAAATGGTAGGCTTGTGGGTCTAACTCTGCAGGCAAGATTCACTGATGGTTGCTAAATATAGTGGGTAAATGTATGATGAAAAACGAGGAATAGTCTCAAAGTATCTTCCCACAAGATATTACTTACAAAGGGAAAAATAGTAACTTTACAGTGGAGAAATCTGTTTAACATTACCTTAACAAGAGTATCAATATTAATATCTTCAGTAATAAGACATTATGTACCTCCTTAATGCCATAAATTTCCTTCTGATCTGGGCTTAAATGTACCCCACAGATTCTATGTAATATTTTAATTACCACTATTTTCCCTATGACTCCAGTTTGTATTTTCCTTTTCACCCAAGAGTAGTTTAATAGGAGATTTTTAACTGGAAGGGCCTTTGACATTTTTGTTTTTGTTAGTAATTTCTAGTTCTATTACAGTGTGATCAGATAGTGTAATATTTCTGCTTTATGGAACTATGGATATGTTTTCTTGGTGACTTAAACCAATCAATTTTTGTGAATATCCCCAAGGCACTTGAGCAGAAGATGCAATCTCTATCATCAAGGTGTAGAGTTTGAAAAATATGCATAAGATCTAACTTACTGATCACGTTGTTTGTCTTCTGTTTCTCCTTTGTTCACTCGATCTGTCTTGAACTGAATTCTTATTAAATCTCCAATTACTAGTGCATTTCTATCTATGCCTCCTTGAATCTCCTATAACTGTTGCTTCCTAAAGGGGACTTGTAATTCCGGTGACTAAATATTAATAAATACTATATAAATACCTATTTGTTGTATGTCTTTCTCTATAAGATGGGTATTTATAAACTTGTTTTTGTCTCAATTTATAAACTTTTTCCCCTGGTATTTTGGTTTGCCATTTTGTTTCAATGGTCACCCTTTGGACATATACCCTTTTAAATGCTCTTAGTCCCCGTTTTCTTATTTAATATTTTACTATTGAGTTTCTCAGTTTTAACTGGTATTGTTTTTCTTCTTCAGGGACTCTAAAACTAATGCTATTCCTTCTCTGCCTGCCTCTCATTTGCACTACTTTCTTGCTAGCTTTTTAAAATGATTTCTTTGTTTTCATTCTCTTGGGGATTTCCCCCCTGATTTTATTCAATGCCCTTTATTAAATATTCATTGAGTCTATTCTCTTTTTGTGTACTTTGTAATTTATTCAATTCTGAGATATCTTTTCCTTTCATTTCTGTCCTGAGTTCAATCAACTTTCATTTCATTTCTTCCTCCCTCTTTTCCTTTACCTTTTTCTCTCCCTACTCCCCGCTACCCTCTGCCCTTTTTGGTCTATTTCTTTAAAAAAATTTTTTTTAACTTGTTTTTCAATCATAGTTGACATAAAATGTTAGTTTCAGGTGTACAACATAGTGACTAGACATTTACATACCTTACAAAGTGATCACCCTGGTAAGTCTAGTACCCATCTGACACCACAAAGTTATTACAATATTGTTGACTATATTCCCCATGCTGTAGTTTACAACCCCACTGCTATTTTTATAACTGGCAATATGTACTTCTTAATCTCTTTCACACTCTTCAGCCATCCCCAAGAAGTCTATTTCTATTTTTAGGTTTTAAATTTCTGATTTAAGGTGATTATATGTTCAAATGAATAAGTATATTCAATTCCTTTTGGGGATTTGTCTTACGGTTTTCTTCCTCATGGTTGTTTTTCTGAGAAGAAATTTTCTTAGTTAACATGTGTTAGATTTTCTTTTCTTATTTTTTACAATAACACTATGGATCTTTAAAATCTTTTTCTTGTTCATTTTTGTGTTATTGGAGTGTTTTACAAGATTTATAGTTTAATTAGTGCCCTATTCTGTCAGTAGAGCATATAATCCAAACCCCTAAGTGGATTTTTATTTGTTTTTGTGGTCAGGAGAGATATTGTATGTCCTATAATTTTATAGTTCTCTTTTCTTGTAGGTACATTTTATCTCCACATTTGCCCCTCTGCAGTAATTGATTTATTGCCTTTCAGCTCCAAATTCATCCTTTTTGCTTGTTCTGTGAAAGCAGATCTGAGACCTTTAAATAGAGAGAAATTGCTAGAGGAAATATTTTGCTTTGGGTTCCAGCGTATAGCTTGGCAAGCTTCTCTAGCATGTTTGGCTTTCTCCAGTGCAAGGCTCCTGCAGCATTGCATCATGTCCATGGCTTGTCTCATATAGACAGCAGTGACTAACAGCTTGCCTGAGCAATCCCCACTACCCAGAAGTTTTTACCACATTCCTAACGATGGTAGGTGAACACACGATGTAAATGTATATATGCCTTACTGTTAAAATGTACAGCTGAAACTTACTGGATTTTGTTAACCAAAAAGGGAG